CCATTATACAGGCGGGGTGCCCCCCCGCCAATGAGACGGCCCGCCCCTCTAAGAATTTCATGGCATGTAGTCTTTTTTTTATTTAAATAAGGCCAGATCAAGTCAAGAGCTATTTTTTGCGACTCTCCATATTCACCTCTCGCAAACTTGGGGAAAAAGACGGCGCAGAGCGAGGCTGAGTGCTGTGTGTGGTCCTCAAAAAGATAGGAAGACTTTTGTGTGAGATTAGACGGCAATGAAAACTCTGCTTCTAATCACGTTGCACCGATGCGACAGCTTTGTGAGCTACTTTTTCTTTCTTTAAGAAGTGCGACAGGTGAAGCCACAGCATGGTTACCTTATCAATAATTACTGCCTTTTTTTTCTTTCTCTGTGGGTGGGGGGTGTCAGCTTCACTCAGCTGCAGGTGAACACCTCCCGCGTTTCCTGGACTATTTTCCACCAAGGATTACGTCGTATTTTATATTTATTATATTTCTAAAAGCACTTCGCAGCATTTCCCCCTGTGTGTTCACGTCACGAGCACAACAAAACCACGACAGATCAGCTGACAGTTTTTAAAGCGAGGMGCAGCGAACATGTCCACCTGCAGCTCGGCTCCGACCAGCCCGGCCCGGGACTTAAAGTTCATACATGTCAACCCCTTCAGACGTTTACGTGTTTAAAGAGCATCAAATATCTGTAATTTGCGCAAAAAATCAGTATTAATCATGCGACGTGGCGGGGTGGAGGTGCGCTGACCGCAGCTGTGCGAGGTGGTGGGGAGGATATTTATTTATTTATTTATTTATTTGTGCAACAATACATGTATTTTTAGCAACGTGTTCAATACACAATGTATCAAATAATACGGATATTTAAATTTTATTTTAAAAGCTTGTCTTCTGAAGAGGCTCTGTGTTGAAGGATCAGTGGATCTGTGTTCGACTACTCCACCTAGGCTGCTTTGTCGAGCGCAGATCCACTGAGCAACTTGCTGTTTCAGCAACATTTAATTTAAAAACTGTACTTTAGAGTTTAAACAAATGCTCATAATTAATTTCAATAAATTACAAGTTAAGAAGGGCATGGACATTTCTCTCTTTTGTATCGAAAAAATATTGAACCCTGACACTAAAATATCGAACCGAGTCGTGATTTTTCTGTATCGTTTCTAATATTTTTCTTTTTATCATCCAGCATTGAAAGTTTAATTTCCTGCTTCTCCGTTTTTTTAAAATCCTCCTGTACTTTTCCTAATTGCATATTTCTCATGGGTTTCACGAGTCAGGACCCAGGTAGCAGAGCGTTCAGTCCTGGTGGGACTAATTCACGCCCATCATTAGCGACAGGGAGGCTCGAGGTCAGCGTTCACAGCAAGGACACACGGAGGAGTCACTGATGCCTGAGAGTGTGCGAGGCAGGAAATACAACATCCAGCAGGGCAGTGCTGTGACCGTTCAATGAGCGGGTTATTACGTATTCATCCTTCGGTTTGTTTCAACGCCCTGAGAGCTGCGAGTCGACCAATTATTGGCATGAAACACAAAATTGCTGGATTGACTGAAGCGAGTTGCCTGCTGGGGAGGTTTGGAGTCGATCAGCTGCAGCTCCTCAGGAGGTCTGGTTTGTGTTTTAGTACAGGTCTTTTTTTTTTCCAGGACCTAGAGATTAAAGGGACACAGGTGGCTAACGGAGCTACTGAAAAAGTGACGGGAGGGCGACTGGGGCTGCAGATTAAGATGGAAGTCTGTTTTCTTGGCAGCTGGTGATGAGTAAACACAGATTCTTCCACGTGCTCCGATTGGTTGCCAGCAAACAGGTTCTGTTTGTGTGTCAGTTTGTGCGATCACACSCGCAGAGCTCGGCGAACACAGGAGGTTGTGTAACGGTGACAAAGAATAGAATCATTTTGAACTAAAAGCTAAAAGTGAGACAGTTTTGTCACCAGCTGCTGCCACAGTGTCACACCACCGTTCCTGTTATTTTCTTCCTGTGTCACTTTTCTCAGCGCCTCACCTCCACTCCCCAACACGTTCACAGTTTCCTCCCCTCGTCTCTGCGCTCGTCTCGTCTGCCTCGCTGTACGTTCTGTTCTGCCTTTTGTTATCGTGCTTATTAAAGCTGGAGATGAACATCCTGTGATATTTTCTGTTTTTCCCTCCTCGTTTCAGGGCAGAGTTGATTTGTTTCATCGTGTGCCGCGCTGCCTTACATTCTCACCAAAAAGTTTTTGTTTCACTGATTAATCAGGTCCATTTAGGGCTCAGTACTTCAATCTGCAATCTATTTGTGTATTACTGAAGTAATAAAATAAAAACTAAGATAGCTGCAGACGCTTTATTAATCCTTTTGTTGCTGCAGCTTGATTATTTCTTCATTTTTAAACCTTCAAATAAAATTATGAAGGGAAAATTGTGGTTTTTACTTATTATTACGTCAAGTAGTTGCCAAGTTTTCTCGTGACTTCTTTAATAAATCAAAAAGAAAAAATAAGTAGGTCCTCTGGATGGGTTGTTCTTTAGTGAAACGTTTCATCTCTCCTCCAAGAGACTTCTTCAGTCTGATGAGTTTCAGGTGAACTCAGCCTTATAAGCACTGCCTCCACATGGACAAACAGGTTAGTCACATGCAAAAAAGGGCCATCGCTTGACAATAGGCTTGATTGGCCATGTAACTAAATAGAGCTAATCAAACCTATTGTTTGGCCCTCTTTTGCATGTGACTAACCTGTTTGTCCATGTGGAGGCAGTGCTTATAAGGCTGAGTTCACCTGGAACTCATCAGACTGAAGAAGTCTCTTGGAGGAGAGATGAAACGTTTCACTAAAG